TTTTTTTTTATAAAGCCCATATGTAAACCCTCTATCCCGTTGGTGGTAAGAGAACCGACGGGATTGAGGGTTTATCTCTCGGGCTGCTCCATCTATTGGTGGGGAGCGGCACCTGCTGGAAACCGGGTCCAGCGTCCCATTGAACAACTTATGACTCAGAGATCCCTGTTTTGATGTTTCCTGTGGCTGCGGTTTTCCCTCCTCAGACTCGGGTGTCCTTGTACCCATAAGGCTGCTAATGATTCCCTACCCTTCTTAGAACACACCGTATTTGATAACCCCACCCTGGTTAGCAGCCCCTTTTTTTGAAATGCCTGACCTATTTTCTCCCTTGAGCCCCTTAAACCCTATACCCTCTATCCTTTTCCACCTTGTACACCCGACCATCTTAGCCCTTGACGCCAGGGGTTCGGGCCACAGAACTGGCCTCCCATGACAAAATTAGGAGGGCACTTGTACTATCATCATGGTTTAATTTGTTGGCCAACTTGTGAGCGTTGGGGGGGGACAGGGACTTCATGTCTCGTGAGACCGTCTCAATAACGAGAGACTGACAGACCATAGCAAGAACCTGACAGASACCTAGCGTGTGTGGTGCATACGCAACAGGGATGACAGTGGACACGAAGATGCAGTGCAGGRCCTGGTAATGCCAACTCAAACTTTTAGGCAGACAACCCGGACAGTGGCTACATGTCTTGTGAGGCTGCCTCAATAGCAAGAAACTGACAGGCAATAGCAAGAAACAGACAAACATGTAGTGTGTTCAGACTTTTTAGGATGACAGCCCAGTCTCAAGTGCCGACTCATGTCGTATTCACCCGCCATTGTAGTTTAACTGTCCAGACGGTCCCCATTTATCATCACCACTGCCTGCTTCTGCCCACGGATAAAACTCATCGTCCGTCCACCCCTCACCGCATCGCCAGATCAGGATCATCTCAAGCACGTCAGAATTTTCACGCGAGAGGGCAGGAAGAACCCAATAGCCCTCACCTTAGTAGCTAGCCCATCGCCAGATCTTGGTTGAACGTCCATTGTGTAGATCAAAGCGGGCAAGACAATCATGGCTAAAGATTGTATTTCAGATGTCATTGTCGGAGTCGCTGTTGTTGTCGTTGGAAAAATTGTTGGTGTTGATGATGTCATCGTGGTTGGCGCTGTTGATGTAGGTAGTGACAGTAGTGTTTCAGATGTCATCGTCCGAATCGCTGTTATTGTCGTTTGAAAAATTGTTGGCGTTGATGATGCCATCGCAGTTGGCGCTGTAGATGTAGATAGTGTTTCAGATGTCATCGTCAGACTCGCTGTTGTTGTCGTTTGAAAAATTGTTAATGCTGATTATGCCTTTGCGGTTGGCGCTGTTGATGTAGATATAGTTAACGAACTTGTTTCAGATGTCGTCGTGAGAAGCGCTGTTGTTGTCGTGATGAAGATCGTTGGTGTTGATTTTGTCGAAGATATCATCGTCGCTTCTGAAAGTTGTTGCAAACCAGTTGAGGCAGCGCTCACAAACACCTCCCCAGATGTGCTTATTGCCCGCTTATCACTCAGATCGCTCCAGCAATCGCCCATCAAGGAGTCCGCGAGCTGCCAATCAAGGAGATCATCCAGCTGTGGATCAGGCCCCTCTTCAAGCTCTCAAAGGACATCCATCATCCTCTGCCGCTTATCCTCCAGCCATGCGGTCCTTGAAGTCTCCCCCCCTACAACTTCAGACCAATCACGGACTGTTGAGGACACAAGAGTCACCATCTCCCTCAGCCGACGCTTCCCCTCCTTCAACTTGTAGATCCAATTTGTCGCCGCTTGTTGTAGATTTGTTGTCAAAGTCATTTCCGTTCCCCTGCCATACCTTTCATCCGATAGAGCGCCATTCGCAATGACGCCATCTGCACGCTGACTACAGGATTTACTCGTCCTGCCCTTATTGCTGTCCATTCCGCCCTCGTCAAACCTCCTCCAGACACAAAGTTTGACCTAAATTTTCCACAGCGATGGCATCAACGCCATCAGTCCCCCTCGTGGCCACCGAGACGTTGGGTGACAAGACCGCCGGACCCGCCGGCCGTTCGCTCGAGCGACGTGACGCTCACCCCTCCTCTTGAGATCTTGATTGCTCAACGCCCTACACATTTTGCGCAGGGGCCCTGCCAATCCTCTGCGTATCTTACGATCCACTTCGTCAGAGATTTTTTTATTATTATTAGTTTTTTTTTTGGTCGTAGTAGCTGGATTGCAGACATGTTTTTTTTTCCCGCCGCCGCGGCGAAAGTGCAGCGACTTTCAGGGGCTACCCTAGGGAACCCCAGGCTGTGAACAGAATTGCCCACAAGCCCTAGGAAACAAACAGAAAAATTTGTGATTAATGATGTTTTCAATGGGACGCTGGGCCCAGTTACCCCACCAATAGATGGAGCAGCCCGAAAAAGA